CGATCCTCCGCAGCCTCGTGCTTCTTGCTTTGGGAGTGCTTCACCATCATCTGCTTATGAATGTCAACACCTCCATTGCTGTACTTACCATATTACCACTTTGGAGGAGCGTGCACCATGCACAATCGACACTTCATGCTTGGACGTCCGTCAAGGCGTTGGTCGATGAGCAGCCAGGGGAATTTTCGCACCCACTGCTCTTCGGCCTTCGCCTTCAGTTCAGCAAGAAGTGCATCGGGATCGAGGATGAGATGAGAGTGGCTTCCCATGCTGAGCGTCAGATCAGAAGCTGAAACAGACTTTCCCGCCTCTTGGGTCGCAGATGGCGTTGCATCAACAGCAGGTCGGGAAGTCTCTAGCCTGATGTGAGGAACACGGGTACACGCGAATCGAATGGTGCTTTGCGGGTACCTTCCAGCAGGCAGTCTTGAAGGCAACGCTGGGATTGTGGCTACTGAGAGTGGAGGCGAGGGGATCCCCGCGGCAGTAGTGGGAGAGCGAGGAGAGGCAGGCGGAGTGGATGCGAGCAAAGGCTCAGCATCAATCTCCAGGAGTAAGTCAGAGAAAGGCAGAGGCTCGGATGGGGAACAAACAGCTAGGACGGGCACAGCCTCTGGCGTCTCTCGCGGAGGCTGGCATAGAAAATCCAGCCCCCTCATTGGGGGTGCTGTAGCAGGAACGGGCTGTGCTATGGCGGCGGCGTCGTCATCAGTGGTGGCGCTGCCAGCCATCTAAAACTGACTGGCACAGCAAACGAGTGAGATACGCTACGGGGCATGTCTAACCTGGGTGCGGTAACGATAGTGAAACGAGGGCATAGTGGCGGACAGGGGAACTTGTAGAAGAGAAGGGTGAAGAAGAAAGGGAGTTCCCCACATCTCTTTCAGCATGCATCGAACCGCAGCCCGTTTCAATGGTGTAGAGTTGAATGATCCCCCTAAGACGCAGGTTCATAGGGAGGCCGGCTAGGAATGTATGTTGCGACAAGCCAATGGGAGAGTATGCTGCAATGGCTCATAGGGCAAGCCAATTGGAGAGGCCCCGTTGCCTTACCTAGCAGGACAAGCCAATGGGAGGGGCTCTGCCCTGTCTAACAGGACAAGCCAATGGGGAAGAGAGATGCTGCCAATGCATGGATGCACTATCCTTGCAAAGCCAAATGAAGGGCAACTGTGGAGAGTCATTGTGTGTTGGAAGGGGATGGGCCAATGAGACTACACGGCTGACTCAATCGCCCACTGCGACGCCACACCGTGAGAAAGATATGAGTCAGCACTTGTCTCACCGACGTTGTGCTGGTGCAGAAACTGTAAGTAATGATGCCCCACTGGGCGTGCCTGTTAAACTAAGGTAGCTAGGAACGGTAGGAAGCCATAGAAATGGCGAGAGGTTTTAGGCTAGGAAAGTTGAGGAGAGAAAAAGGAGAGAGAATAGAAGAGAGAGGGATACAAGGAGGGGTGTTGTACCCTCTACAGTAGGTTTCAGTAACGCATACCAAGCCTACAATTATATAACATATATATAATTTAACACACCCCCTAGGCTTGGTAGTAGAAGAACCCACACACACCCACACCCCCTAACCTAGCACCCCCATTTCCAGCAGCAGCCGCGATGACTCTGGAATCGGTCAACACCCATGGCCCGGGAGATGGCAATGGCGGCAGGCACAGCAGTGACGAGAGCAACGGCGGCGGTGTGCGGCGGCAACTGGCCAGCGGCAACAGCGAGGCACCATGGCTGGCGCAATGCTTACTGGCATGAGGGCGTTACGAGTGGCACCTAGGACAGGGCGCTGGCCCAGCTGTCCGTGCGCTGGCGTGGCGAAGCCGTCACGGCAACACGACGGCACGGCGGCACGGCGGCACGGCGACCCAGCGGCACGGCGGCGCAGCGGCACGTCGACCCAGCGGCACAGCGGCGTGGCGGCGCGGCGGCACCGTGGCACGGCGGCATGGCGGGATGGCGACACGGCGGCACTGAGGCACGGCGACGTGACGGGGCCGGCGCGGCATGACGGGGCCGGAGCGGAGGGACGGGGCCAGCACGGTGTGACAGGGCCAACGCGGCGTGACGGGGGGGGGAGTACGCTGCGGAAGCATGAGGAGAAGGCCCGAGCGAAAGGGGTCTGCTCTGAAACCATGTTAAACTAAGCTAGGTAGGTGGGAAGCCATGGAATGGCGTGAGGTTTAGGAAGGAGAAAGTTGAGGAGAGAAAAGGGAGAGATAATAGAAGAGAGAGGGATACAAGGAGGGGTGTTGTACCCTCCACAGTAGGTTTCAGTAACACCTACCAAGCCTACAATTGTATAAGATATATATACAAGCGATTTGCTGTACACGCGGGGATTTCGAGGGGGCTGGATGCAGCCTCACAATAATCGGTTTCAGAGGAACGTATTTGCTAAGTGTGTAAAATCAGAAGAACAAGACCACACATTCTGAAATTTTAGAAGGACTATAATTCAGTTTCTAGGGCATCCGAAATTCTAGAAATAGGTTTCTAAAAATTCAGAGGAACGCCTAAAAAAGAGTCTGAAAATAAGACAAACTGACGGATTTTGTCTGATGACGAGAGCCCTGAGCCCAGCGAGTGAGGAAAGTGGCTAGGAATACCAAGTGTTATGAATGGAACTGTCGAGTAGCGCGGAGGGAAATAGCGAAACTGTGAACGAGTGAATGACAATAAAATGAAAGACAACATAATATATAGGAAACCTATGGTGATCCTGGACGTAGGATCAGAAGGTACGGGAAACGTATCGAAGGGCCTCGATGTGTCGTAGCGAGGTCCGAAAAGGCCTAGGAGGCTCGAACTGAAAGGTGTGAAACCCTATCGCTGGTTCGGGACTGTTCGAGTCGTACGCCCTGTAGCAAGCCTCACTAAGGAATTACTACCGTAATCCCCCGGATATAGGCGCATCCCTTTATTTGGCCAATTGCACTTATGGACTGCAAGTGCTCTTATATCCGTTATTTCATTATAAGCGCACCCATATTTTTGAAAATGTATTTCCTATAGGCGCATCACATTTTGGTCAAAACTTATGTTAAACAGGGGATTTCCATATCGGAGTTTATGGCGTGTCCCTTCCGAGTGTTCGAATGCTAGAATGATTAGAATGTGAGAGTACAAGAGAATATAGGCTAGTGTGTTGTACCCTCTAAGGCACAAACCTATATAGTCTACAATAACATACTAAGTTATGTTTTGACACACCCCCTAGACTATATAGGGGCAGTGTCTAACAAGCGGACAAATAGGTCAAGGCGGCACTACTAGTCCAACCTTTGAGGCAAGGGTCCGAAGACCAGTCAAACGAGTGCAGACCAAGGCAAGAACAAGGCCAGGGCAGCACTACTAGTCCAGCCAGTGGGAGAGGCCACAAGACCAATCAAGGTAATATACATATCTATAGAGGTTTGTACACAATCAAGGCCCTAGCTAATGAGAAGCCACAGGAACAAGACCAAGTTGTACACAGTGCCGCTGATTATCTTTAGGCGCAAGCGCCTTCGTAAAGATATTAGCTGTGTTGGCACCGGAGGCCAAGTGTACTACGCGTGCCTGGCGTCGCTGCTGTAGCTCGCGCAGGAGGAAGTACCGCAACTGAATGTGCTTCCCTCTGCCCTCAAGTCGAGGCTCCTGACACAGGAGGATCATGGCCCTATTGTCAGCGTACAGGACCGGGGCAGAGCTAGGCCGCTCACCTAAGTCGGTGAGCAAGAAGGTCAGCCAGCGGAGCTCCTGTGCCGCCATGGCACCGGCGTAGATTTCAGCCTCGCAGCTGGACTGGGCAACAGACGAGGAGCGGGTAGCTCTCCACGAAACAGCACCCGAACCAAGGCTAAAGCAGTAGCCCTGAGAGGACCTGAGGGTCTCAGCGTCGTCTGCCCAAGAAGCGTCTGTGTGTCCAGTAAGGACCGCTGGCCTGCATCCTCCGAGCACTAGCCCCATGCCCAATGTGCTCGCTAGATAACGCAAAACCCTCTTAGCGGCCGACCAGTGCTTCGGTCGGTGTCTGCCTGTGGCCACAAAGCGAGCCAGGATACTTAGAGGGTATGTCAGATCCGGGCGAGTGCTAGTCATCACGTATATGAGGCAACCCACCAACTCTGCGTAAGGACCACTGGGCTCTTCTGACTCCTCAGGAACAGGAGCTGAGAGCCTGTGGTCTACTGGCACAGGTGTGGGCTGTGCGGAGGAGAACTGAAGGCCGAACCACTGAAGGACCTGGCACACCAAGTGTGACTGTGAGAGAGTGATGGTGCGCACTGCTCTGTCCCTGGAGATCTGCAGGCCAAGGTAGTGGCACAGTTCTCCTAGGTCAGTGCAGGTGTGTCTCTTCAGCAGCTCTGCCGTCACAAAGGCCAGCGCGTCCCTCTCTGTAGTGGCAAAGACCAGGTCGTCTACGTAAACAAGGATGTAGAACGGGGTCTGGCCAGCACGAACAAAGTGCGAGGGGTCGGCCAAGGACGGAAAGAACTGCAGGTCAGCTAGGGTAGCACGTAATGTCTCGTGCCACTCACAGGGCGCGTGTTGCAGGCCGTAGAATGGACGCCGCAGGAGCCACTGGGTCCCAGGAGGGAAGGTACGAGTAAGCCCTGAGGGTGGCGACAATAGACCTGCTTGTGTAGGTTGCCCTGAAAAAACGTTGTGGAGAAGTCAAGGGAGTGTAGCTCGTAGTCGCGCTGAGCTGCTATGTGCAGTAGCATCGAAAGAGTAGTCATCTTCGCGGTCGATGCAAAGGTTTGGAAGACGCCCACCCCCTCTCGCTGACTGAAGCCTCTAGCCACGTAGCGCGCCTTGAACACAGGCGGCTCTCCATGGATCCGCTTCGCCTTGAAGAGCCAGCGGCCATCGACTACGTTCACCCCAGGTGGGGGAACTGCATCGACGTAGGTGTCGGTGGATCTCCAAGATGTCATCTCCTACTGCATGGCAGCTATCCACTGAGAAGCCCAGGGTCCCGAGGTGGCCTCAGTGTAGGTGCGAGGGGTCGGGATGTCGAGGGTGTCTGGGTCACCCTCAGGGACTAGTAGCATGGAGCAGAGATGGGGAGCAGCCTCGGACAGGAAAGCAAGCTCGTACTGTCGGTCCTCCAAGATGTCACTGCCAAGGGCAGGAGCACCTCCGACGGACGGAGGACAGGCAGGGTCAGAGACCAGAGCGGTGGCGTAGTCAAGGCTGCGGGTAGAGGCAAAGTCAGCGACAGCAGCGACAAGTGCGTCGAGGCACGAAACAGGAACAGACGGGTCGGTAACGAGAGAGGCAAGGACCCAAGAAACAAGAGGGCGAGCCGCACGAAGTTAGTCAGACAAAGGGGGAGGCACGACAACAAGAGAGGACGGAGGAGGCGACGGCAGGAGGGGAGGACGAGACACATGGGAACGAAGCAACATAGGGTGAGAATGCGGGACAGGGGAGACCGGACGCGCACGAGAGGGACGGCATCCCCAGACGTTCGACGGGGGGGTCGGGTCTGGAGACAGGGGAGGGGACAAAAGAGGGGAACGAGGGGGAAGACGAGCCGGAGATGATTCCGGAGGAGGGAACACACGGCCGTAGATAGGAAGAGGAGGAGACAGTAGGAGAGGCTCAGACGCGCAGTTGGGGGAGGGAAGTTACCGGTGGCGACCGCTGCTGCTGCGGCTGCACAACGCCAACACCGGGACCGCCAACTGCTCCATGGCTACCTCCAAAACACTCCGCTCCAGCACCCCCAAAAGGAACACCCCCAGAAACAGAGATCCCCTCAGCACCGGCACCACCCCCAGGCCCACCGAGACACGCCGCGACAGGAGCCCTAGGACGGGCATCCATCTCAGCGCCAACACCACCAGAGGGCACGAACTGCTGCTGCGGTGGCGACAACGGCGGCTGCAGCTGCAGCTGCAAAGGTGGAGGAGGAGACACTGAGGAGGGGGCAGGCGACGAAGACTGCGCCGCAGGGCCACGAGAGTCAGCAGACTCCTCAACCGGGACAACCGACGGGAGGGGGGTGATGTGAGACACACCACACGGGGCAGGGCGGGGAGGTGGGGATGCAGGGGCGACCAAGCAACGGGGCACCAGGAACAGGGGGGGAGTAACCAGGGGACCACAGTGGGGAAAGCGGTGGTAGAAGGAGACGGACTCGTCAAAGGTGACGTCGCAAGAGTGAAAGAAACGGTGAGATGGCGGGTGGTAGAAGTGCCAGTCAGGGGGAAACCTAGGAAGACACAGGGGATGGTGTGGGCAGTGAGCTTGTCCATGCCAGAGGCACGAACGTGAGCAAGGCAGCCCCAAATGTGGAACGCAGATGCCTCACCAGGGGACCCGGTACAAAGAAGGGTCGGCGAAACCTGCGGATGCTGGGGGTGCGGCCACAGGTTAAGCTGGTGGGCGGCGTAGCGAACGGCGAACGGCCACAGAAAATGGGGTGCACTGGCATGGATCATGGAGGTACGAGCCACCTCCATGACCAAACCGATGCGTCGCTACCAGCTCCAGACCGGTCCTCGCCGTGACCTTGTGTGCGGTAAGATCGGTCACACCCCCACTCGTCGTTTCAGTCGCCTGGACGACCTGTTTCGTCTTCGCTTTGGCCCGTCACCCGACCTCACTGACTGGCTCAGCTTGCTTCGTCAGGGTGTTCAGATCTTTGATATGGACATGGATGAGATTAGTTCTGCGTTGTACTGTATGTGCTGTATGTCAATGACTCTAGTGTGATTGGTTCCACTTACCCAGTGTTGCCTTGTAGAGGTATGCCTAGTTCAGACTCCCCTGCTGCGCCAGGCATAGGATCCCTTGCTTTGTTTAGCCTAGGCTCCTCTCTCGCTTCTACGGCTCCTGCCGCCACTACCGCACTCTCCTTCACCCTTGACTCCGGCGCTTCCCAGTGCTTCTTCCGGGACTCCACTACTCTCACGCCGTTTACAGCTCCCGCCGCAGTTTCCCAGGCCGACCCTTCCTCAGGCCCTGTCGTAGCTCGTAGCTCCACTTCCCTGTCCAGCGGTTCCTTCGGGCTCCCTTACAGGCCTGCACATCCCCTCGTTCTCTAGGAACCTAGTTGGTGTCGGCTGCCTCCTATCACATGATCGAATGTGTCAAGAAAGGTTGCACTATCGATTGATACAAGGTGCTTTTATACTTCCAAAGTACATCAGGTAACTAGGTTTATCTTATCCTAAGGGAATAGACCCTTCTAGAAGATAGAATCACCCTGCGTATAGCCACGCGAGGCTATTGGTTTTAAGGGATTACGGCAGGATTACGCTAGATATAGCGCACCAGTACATCCCGAGCCTGGTTGGTGATATAATGATAACAACAGGATAAACCAAAGGTTTATGGAAAAGGAGAAATAGGAATCCAAATGGAATAAGATAAAAACCAAATGGATCAAGATAGAAAGAGGAATGAAATGGAAAGGAGAAAGGAATGGAACGGGGTCGTACTCTCACACTTCCCCCCCTCAAAGCTGGGTGGTAGACGTAACACCCTGCTTGACAAGGTAGTTGTGAAGAGGACGACGACCGTGATCCATCTCGGATTCAGAGACCCAACTATCCTCTGAAGAATCATAACCCTTCCAACGGATGAGAAGCTCCACGGTGCCATTCCGTCGATTGACTCGACCTCGTACTTGGGTTCGTCGTGGACGAGGACGGGCGGCGGCGGCGGCGGTTGGCGGCCAGAGAAGACCGTGTTGGGATCTCGATAGGGCTTCAAGAGTTGGACATGGAAGGCGTTGTAAATCTTCCAGGCAGATGGCAGGCGAATGCTGAAGGTAACAGGAGTGACCTGTGCTTCAACGAGAAAAGGCCCGCAGAAGCGAGGTCGCAGTGTGGATGGGAGATGGCTGATGTCAAGTTTCATGTGTCGAGTAGTACTCGGTCTCCTACGGTGATGGTGTGGTCTGTGCAGTGGCGATCGGCTTGGTACTTTTGTTGATGTTGAATGCCGAGAAGGCGCTTGTGGGTCCGATCCCAAAGTTTGTGCATGGTCGTGATGAAATCATGAGCGGGTTGGACTGTGGCTGGTATGGCTGGCTGTTGAGGTGTGAGTGGGTGGCGTCCGTAACAGAGGAAGAACGACGTCTGTCCAGTAGCGGTGTGAGTAGCATTGTTGTAGGCAAACTCCAGGACTGGCAGATGCAAGTCCCATTTGGAGATATCGTCCTTGCAGGCTGCGCGGAGGAGTTGCTCCACAATTTGGTTGAGGCGCTCGGTCTGTTCATCTGTCTGCGGATGGTAGGCAGATGACATGGCGAGCTTGGTCCCGAGCAGAGACATCAGTTCTTTCCAGAATTTACTGGTGAACTTAGGGTCTCGGTCGGAGATGAGTGTGGTTGGAATGCCATGTTGTGAGATGATGTAGCGAACAAAGAGTTGTGCCGTCTCCTCGGTGCGTGCTGTGGTGTGCGTCGGGATGAAGTGTCCCATTTTGGAGAACTTGTCAATGACGACGAGGATCGCGTCATGTCCGCTCGTGATAGTTGGTAGCCCGGTGATGAAGTCTAGCCTTACCACTTGCCATGGCTGTTCTGGGATAGGAAGAGGCTGTAGCAGATTCGCCTTTTTCTGCTTGCTGCTCTTCATCCGTTGACATGTAGTGCACGAGGTGACGAATTTCTGTACGTCATCTGCCATGTGGGGCCAGTAGTAGTGTTTGGCGATACCGGTGAGCGTCTTGTTGCTACCGAAGTGTCCCGCGTACAGGACGTCGTGGTATTCTTCTAGTAGTAACTGGCGCAATGGAGGGTAATTAGGTACCCAGATCTTCATTGATCCTTTCCGGTATGCGATGTCGTTGTCCCACTATAGCAGATGTCGCTTTTCTGCCAAGGGAATTTCTGGGTCGATGGTTTACCCGTGTATGAAGAGTCCCTTGAGGAGTGGATTCATCCCTTCAGCTTGGATAGCGGCAACGTGTGCAGGCCGGCTAAGCACGTCTGCTTTGTTTTTGTGGCCGGGCTTGTACACGATGTCGTAGTGGAAGTGTGTCTCGAGGAAGTCAATCCACCGGACCTGCCGCTTGGAGAGGCTTGGTTGCGTCTTCAAATATTTTAGGCTGCAATGGTCGGTGTAGACTGTCGTCTTGGGTCCTTCGAGATAACATCTCCATGTTTTGAAGGCGATGATGATAGCAAGGGCCTCCTTGTCGTGTATCGGGTAGTTGAGTTCTGCTCCATGTAATTCTTTGTTGAGGTAGGCAATTGGTTGCAGGCCATTCTCCTGGTCTTGCATCAAGACTGCTCCCACTGCCTGGTCGTTGGCGTCAGCTTCGATGACGTAGTCGCGTTCGGGGTCTGGCAAGATGAGTACGGGTGCGGACGTGAGTGCTTGTTTCAGCTGCTCCACGGCTTCCTGATGTTGTAGCTCCCATTTATAGGGCGTGTTCTTCTTTAGCAGATTCGTGAGTGGCGCGGCGATCTTCACGTATTGTGGCACGAACCTGTTGTAGTAGTTGGCAAAGCCAAGGAACTGCTGTAACTCCTTCACGTTCTCAGGTGTCTTCCACGTACGCACGGCTTCGATTTTCTTGGGGTCGACATGAACTCCTTGAGCGCTTACGATATGTCCGAGGAATTGGACCTTCTCGAGGGCGAAGTCGCTCTTGGATAGTTTGACGTAGAAGTGTTCTCGTCGAAGAATTTCGAAGACGCGTCGTAGGTGCTCGACATGTTGTTGCATGTCGCGCGAGTAGATGAGGATTTCGTCCAGGTATACCACCACGCATTCGTCCAATAGTGGGCGTAGGATATGATTCATCTCTGCTTGGAAAGTTGCAAGTGCGTTGGTGAGTCCGAACGGCATGACCAAATACTCGTACGATCCGTACCGAGTTTGGAAGGTAGTCTTGTGAACAGAATCGTCCGCCATTCTTATCTGCCAGTATCCGGACCGCAGATCTAGTTTTGAAAATACCGTAGCTCCCTGGAGCTGGTCAAGCAGGTCATCGATTCGTGGTATCGGATATTTGTTCTTGATGGTCTGCTTGTTGAGAGCTCGGTAGTCGATGCACATGCGCAGGCTTCCGTCCGGTTTCGGTGTGAAGAGTACTGGGGCACCGTATGGCAAAGTGGATGGTCGGATGAGTCCTTCGGCGAGGAGATACTCGATCTGCTTCTTCATGTCGGCTAGTTCTGTAGGGCTTAGCCGATATGGTGCTCGGAAGGTCGGTTTCGAACCTGGTTCCTCCACGATCTCGTGTTGGTGCGTTCGGTATGGCGGTAGTTCGTCCGGGAGGTCGTCGGGAAGAATGTCTTGGAACTCTTTCAGTAAGTCCTTGATTTTTTTTTGAGGTTCCGAGGCTTTCTCTCCGTCATTCTCCACCTCTGTTGCTATCGCCAGGAACCCGGTGTCGGTTCGCTTCACATCCTTCCTCGAATCTGGCGAGTGTCTCCACTGGGATATCTCCTGTATCGTCCTAGTTGGGTAGCTGGACTCTCCTTCCTTTGTTGTAGATGCTTGCGGTGCGGTTTACCCAGTTGATCTCGGGGTTGAATTTCTTGAGGAAGTCTCGCCCGAAGATCAGGTCAAGCCCTTTTATGTTGGTGATGGGGAGAGCAGGTTTCCAACGCGGTGGACCAATTTGTAGGTGTAGCACTGCTTCGCCGTACACTGGTAACTTGCTGTCATTCACCATCGTTGCAGAAAACGCTGATGGCTTGTACTCTTTTCGAAGTCGGTCGATGGTTGCCTTGTCGCATACGGTGTGCCATGCTCCGCTGTCCACGAGTGCTTGGAGGCGTCGTCCTTTGCAGATGACCTCGAGCACGAGGGGCAGGCGTTGCTCGGAGTACCCAAAGATAGTTTCATTGATTGGGTCATCGGGTACATCCCAATATTCGTTGCTTCCTACTCCTCAGCTGGCAGCTAGCCGAGGCTGCTTGGAAAAAGGCTCTTCTCCAGGGCCCGGAGTTTCCGTGACGACTGTTCGTGTCGTTGACGAAGTTGCCGAGTTGGATGCATCCGAAGAAGAAGGAGTTCGGGGTTTTTGCAGCTTCTTGTAGACCCCCAGCTTCATTTTGAGCTGCTTCAGCTCCACCGACGTCTTCCCTGGGGAACGGGTAGTCGCTGTGGGCTGGTGTCGGGAGAGGACGTTGACTCCATGGAAAGGTCGGCTTCTTTCCACACTCCTTAATTTGGTCCCCAAGTTCTCCGGTACCGGTACGATCTCCACAATTTTCTGCTTCTTCTGGAGTCCCTCCCGAAATTTCTCCAAGGCTCTAGCCCCTCAAGAAATACACGTTTTCATTAAAGCATCTTTGTAAGATAACTTTAACGGATCCTTATAATTTCTTGGGTCTTCAAAGAGTTTCCCCGTCTTGGCAGAGTCTTTTTTCGCGGAGTTAGATTTTTCCTCGGCGATTTCCTCTGGCAAAGACTGGTCATGGGGTGGAGATTTTTCCCTATCATTTTCTCCTGTTCGCGTCGAATCAGCTGCGTCGAAGTTGATTTTTCTGGAAGTCAGCGGCCGCTTTCGGATCTTTTCTTTTTCGCCAGCTAGATCCGCAATCACTGGGGAGTCCCATTTTTTGGCTTCTGATTAGCCGAAGGATTTCCGCCATTGTTGCGTGCCCGATACCCAGCGAGTGCGGTTTTCATTTTGTTTTTCGGACGTGGCCGCCCTTCGAACCTGTCGACTTCCATCGGGTCGGCGAACGTGGTGTGAGCCGAGCGGTCGCCCTGTCGCGTACTGTCGACGTGCGTCCGTCGTGTCCTGGCGTTGACCATGTCGAAGCGTTCCGCGGCCGATACGACGTCACTGTAGCTCGCGTAGTTTGTCGCTACCACTTGTCGTTTGACTTCGGCCTTCAGCCCGGCGAGGTACGATTGTACTTTATCCCCTTCGGTCAGGTCGGGAATGCGGTTATAAAATTCCTCCATCTGCTGTGTGTACTGCGCTACACTCCCGAACTGTCGATGGCGATGAATTTTTTCGCGGACAAGGAAACCCAGATTTTATCGGCTCGAAACGTTTCAGCAGGTCGGTGCGGAACTGCTGCCACGTGGCTTCGCCGTGGATGAAGGTGCTGTTACCGTCGATCCACTCGAGTGCCAGCCCTCGCATCAGTGTCGTCGCGAGTCGTACGTGTTCACCGTCCCAGGCTGGCGAGCTCCATCCGACGGCTGCGAAGTAGATCTCCATGCCGGCGATCCATCTGCGGACGTCGGAGTTTCGATCGCTCGGATCGAACGGCTCAGGTGGGCGCGGTTTCGGAGCCTCGAGAAACTGCTGCGACTGCTGCGTCGTCGCCGTTGTCGTTTCGTATTGTGCTCCGGCGAGTCAAGGTGCTCGCTCGAACTCATTTCGCCACGCTTCGCGATCCGCTCGCATCTCCTCCTGAAGGGCTACGATGCGCGCGAAGAGCTGCTGGGTAACCTCGGCGCTGTCGAAGTTCGCCATCCTGTTCAAAACACGCGCGGGGCGGGGGGGTAATTCGAAAAAGCGCGGAGTTGGTGCTTACCAGAATCCCCCGCTGGTGCTGCTTAGCTGAGCGCGGCCGAGTGAGAAAAGCTCTGATACCAAGTGTCACAGGATCGAATGTGTCGAGGAAAGGCTGCACTATCGATTGATACAAGGCGCTTTTTTACTTCCAAAGTACATCAGGTAACTAGGTTTATCTTATCCCAAGGGAATAGACCCTTCTAGAAGATAGAATCACCCTGCGTATAGCCACGCGAGGCTATTGGTTTTAAGGGATTACGGCAGGATTACGCTAGATATAGTGCACCAGTACGTCCCGAGCCTGGTTGGTGATATAATGATAATAACAGGATAAACCAAAGGTTTATGGAATTGGAGGAATAGGAATCCAAATGGAATGAGATAAAAACCAAATGGATCAAGATAGAAAGAGGAATGAAATGGAAAGGAGAAAGGAATGGAACGGGGTCGTACTCTCACATGTCTAAGACCTTGGCGTCACCACTACGTTCTCTGGTCACGAGCAGTACGCTGTCTGTATCGAGGCCACCACTGGTACTCCCCTCACCACGTTCCCCCGGGACCCGGTGTCTGGCCTGTTAACGCTTGACACCGCCCACGTGACTGTGTCTCCTCAGGTGGCTGCGGCTTGCTCGTGTCGGTCGCTCACTCACCCGACACTACTGTGGCACCACCGCCTAGGTCACCCTGCCCTCCCACGTCTTCGTCATATGTCTCAGCACGGTCTTGTTCTAGGCCTCCCTAGGTCGTTCCCTGCGCTCCCCTCCTCACCCGCGCCGCCGTGTTCCCCCTGTGTCGAGGGCCGGCTCCGCCGTGCCCCTCACTCCTCCTCGTTCCCCCCCACCACAGTACCCTTGCAGACCTTGCACATGGACGTCTGGGGCCCTGCCCCTGTCCATGGGCCGCGTCGTGAGCGTTACTTCGTCGTCCTTGTTGACGACTACACTGTTGCCAACCCGCCGCTGCTGCTGCTACTGCTGCCGCGGCGGCTGCTGCGGCTGCTGCTGCTGAAGTGGCTGCTGCGACTGCTGCTGCGGCGGCTGCTGATCATGCGGTGGAACTGGCTGCTGTTGCTGAGACTGCTGCTCGGCGGTGCCAGGCCCAGCACCCTCGTCCGCACTCCTTGCGGGCGACCCGGATCCACCACCTCCTCCACCCCCACCGCCTCCACTACCACCGGCGCGCCCAGCCTTTGGGCGGCGGCCCTTTCCTGGATGAAACTGCGCTGCAGCGGCTGTCTCAACCATAGCAGCAGAGCCGTCAGAGAAAGTGCATTGAGCGAGCACACAACCCTGAAAGATAGAGACAGGCACAGTACCGCTGGACTGGGCAATAGAGCGCTGGCGGGTCTCTATGGTAGACAGGGTGTCGACAAAGTCAGTGAAGGTGAGGTCGGCGGGGTGGAGACTAAGAAAATGATCGCGGGCAGTAGCAAGGTGGTCAGGGAGGCGGGTGGCAAGCAGGTAGAGGGTAGCACAGAGGGGGGGCTGGAACACGCCGAGATGGGCCTCAGTGCAGGCAGAGCGCCAGGTCGAGTCTAGCGTGTGCAAGTGGGCGGCTAGGTCATCGACAGTGGGGAAAGACGCGAGGTCAGGAAAAAGTAGGGGCAGAATCAGGCGACCGACGGAGGCAGCGGACGCGGTGGAATAGCGCGCAATAACAGCCTCTAGGAATGCCTGCACAGTCGTGAACGACCTTAAGCGGGGACGCTCAGACAGGGGAAGGGCATGACTGATTGCGAGCTGTGTGACAGCGTCATGCGACAACCAAACTGCACGAGCAAGGGCAGCAGTGGCAGCGCACTCACGGTCAGCAGATGTGGGGTCAGCGGGCAGGTCAGCAGGGGGGTCAGGGCAGGGGAGCGTACCGTCGAGGTGGATAGCCAAGGAGTGGCCGTCCTGCCGCTGACCAGTGAGCTGACGGCGGAGGTCGACGAGCCACGTGTCGAACTCGATCGGCTGACCCTCCGCGTCAAAGCGTAGCACCGGGTCCTCCATCAGGAGCGATGCAGCGGCAGCGCAGTGCAGAACAATGTGGTACAGTGCGGTGCAGTGAGGTACAGTGCGATGCAGTGCGGTACAGTGCGGTGCAGTGCGGTACAGTGTGGTCCAGTGCGGTGCAGCGTGGTGCAGAGCGGTACAGTGCGGTGCAGAGCAGTGCAAAGTGATGCAATGCTGTGCTAGGCGGTGCAGCGCGGTGAAGCGCGGTGCAGCATAGTGCAAGGGCTGGTTGCACGTCAGGGGCAGCTGGACGGCGGAGCCGGGGTGCTGGAAAGGCCGGCGCTGGCCCGCGACGGGACGAGCGCAGGCCGGCTACGGGGCGGGCGCGGACCAGCGACAGGAGGGATGCAGGGCCGGCTACGGGGCGGGCGCGGGCCGGATACGGGGCGGGCACAAGCCAGCTACGGGACGGGCGCAGGTCGGTGACGGGCGGGCGCGGGCAGGTGACGGGACGGGCGGGGGGGGGGGGGCTACTGGACGAGCGCGGGCCGGCTGCGGGACGGGCGCGGGCCGGCTAGGACGGGCGCTGGCCGGCTACGAGACGGGCGCTGGCCGGAACGGAGCAGGCGAAGGGCCGGCTATGGGCGCGGGCACGGAACTGGCCAGCGAAGGGCGCGGAACGGGCCGGCTACGGGACGGACCGGCTTCGGGACGGGCGCGGGCCGGCGACGAGACGGGCGCGGGCTCGCGGCCGACTAGGGGCGGGCCGGCTAGGGGGAACGGGCGGCTAGGACCTATGGCGGAAGCGCTGGTGGGCAAGCGGGACCTAACCTACTCATGATACCATGTTCGAATGCTAAAATGATTAGAATGTGAGAGTACAAGATAATATAGGCTAGTGTGTTGTACCTTCTAAGGCACAAATCTATATAGTCTACAATAACATACTAAGTTATGTTTTGACACCAAGCGCCTCCCGAGCCAGAAGCACGAATCTCGCTCAGTCCGGTTGGCTCTGATTGGCTTGCAATACCAGTCATTCACGAGTGGATCTGGTAGCGTAAGCTTTGTCAGCCAACTCATCGCGCTTTGTCAGAATGATGTCCTTTGGAAACACACGCACTAGAATGCAAATGTCAAGAAATACATTTTCACGTGCTCAAATATTTTTTTCCATAAAATCCCTTTCATAAGCCCTGGGCTTATAAATTTTATTCGATTACAAGCGCATGCCACTTTTGTTAGGTATTTCCTATAAGCACCTATGCGCCTATATCCGGGGGATTACAGTAATTCCTTACAATACTGGTTCTGTACAGTCTTTCGAAATGGTCCCCTCCAACCCCCAGCCTGATGAAATCTTAGACCCATTATACGAGCCTGACCTGCGGTTTCCTATGGGCTATTCTAGAGCTAGTGTCAGACCCGAGGACGACCTGTGGCAGAAGGAGCCACGGGTTGTCACAACCAGGGCTCTCGGTTCAAGGGTAAACATCCGGAATGTCAGGTACATTTCGGGTCTTTCCCTTTGAAATCCTGATTTTGAGGGTTTCGGAATCACAAACCTCCTGTCAGATTCCGGGCGTTTCCCAGGAACTCTCTGAGAAATCCGGACTGCGCGAAAAATTATCCTGACTATCCGACTGGAATGGAAACCTACCCGTGCCGGAATTGTAACCCTACCCTCCCCCACATGGCAGCCCTGACCAATTTTCCCCACAATCTGAAGGTGTGACCGTGGAGCTTTCACAACTACGGTGCAGGGCTTTCAGACTATCACAACCCCTTAATATCACCTTAGCCAGGCTTCGCACTGTCCTCTAAGTTGTACGCATTTCTGTCGCGATTGACAAGGAAAGTGTCGAACTTGGTGTGGTGCTGAGGGACAGCAACAGCAGCAAGTGTGTACTCTGTATTCTTCTCCATCGTTTCTTCCATGGATGTCCGTCCTGCTTGTACTCGAAGTGCCCGCAGGTTCCGCCTATATGTAGGGAGTTCCAAAAAAACACTCTGAATTCATATTGAAAGGTTAAAAGATCCTGAAATAAAGAGAGATTTTCCTGGGAATTGCTGAATTTTCAGGGTATTTAGTGACGCCGAATCCTGAGACCGCTGGGTCCTGGAAAACGGAAAAAAAATTAGCCCTGGTCACAACCTAACTGCGGGTTTGATATTATTGACGGTGCAGCGGCTGCACACTCGCGAACTGTCGCAAAGGGAGGATTGCGACTATACTGACCGAACTTTGCGAGTCAACCAGAAATTTGCGAGTTAATGATTGATGGAAGTTCATTTGCGCGACATTATTAGTTGTTCGGCTTGACAGCTGACTGGCGGGACCCGTCAGTTTTTCGCAAGACCCGAAGGCAATTTTTTTCCAGCCTCGGATCTTAGAGCACAGCCCGAGGGTCTAACTCTCGCTCGAGAATCCTCCCTAAGACCGAGATGAGAGCAGCTAGGATCACCCCACTGCCAAAGCAACACTACCCCAGTTCTCGCCTCATCACGTACCGCTTGTAAGCCTCTCATCCGAACAGACACACGTCGGCGACGGCAGGCTGCGTTCAATCGGCCACCCTCCAAGCAGCGCATCCCGCAGCGCCTTATTCCACTGCCATGCCCATCACAATGCCACGCCCTTGCCGATACCACCTAGAAGCTTCCGAGGCTTCCTGAAAGCTTCTACCGTTCTCCGCCCGCCACCATGGCCACCGCCCTCGCTTCCGAGAGCGCCATTCGCGCGGCGCGTCTGCTCGTCGTGCTGCTGCTCGCTTGCGCCGCGGGCCTTCTTTCCGACGCGCTCACCCGCGCCGTGCACCTGCCGCACCTCGCCGCCTCGCCCTCGCAGCAGCAGCTGGCGGCCGCGCCTGTCCGGGTGCGCGTGGGGCGAGTCTGATCGCCGTTGCGGCGAGCGGGGCGCGAGGGACGCGCATGCCGCTGTGCTGGCGGGCACGGCGCTGAGCGGCGCGCTCTCGCGGCTGTGCCGCCGCCAGGCACCCGCCCTCCGCGCGGACCACGCCTGCCCTGCCGCCCCCCTTACCCACCCCAACCCTCACTCGTCACCCCCCTTGCCTGTCGCCGGCAGCGACAAGGCGCCGCTGCAGGCGCAATGCAGGGAAGAACCAGCGCAGTGCAGCGATAGTAGGGCTTCGCTTTTCTCCATGCTTGAAGGTAGCGCACCTCTTCTCCACCACCGACCCCTCCTCACTTCCCAGGCCCACGCCCTCTACCCCTGCCACGCCACTACCCACAAACACCACTAGCGCTACCGCTACCACTACCATCACCATCACACCGCTTCCTTTTCTCTCCCCCGTGCGTCTGCCTCTTGTCCTCCCACGCAGGGCTGCTCGGAGCTGCCTTTCCCCACCTCCTCATCGCCATTGCCACTCCCCTCCTCCTCGCCTCCCTCGCCTGCCCTCCCCCACCCGGCCATCGCCCTCGCCCTGATCCCTGCCTACCCGTCCGCCTCCTGCCTGCGGCGCTCCCCTCGTCCGCCCGCGCCCTGCTGCACCTTCTGCTGCTCCTTACCGCCACTGCTGCCCTCACCGCCTCCTCCTCCGCGCTCCTCCCACTCCTCCTCGCCCCCTTCCCCTCTCCCCCTCCGCCCTCTGGCCCCGCGCCCTCCAGCTGCTGCTGGCGG